TTTGGCATAAAACAATAAAATGTGCATCTGGAGGCTCATGCCTATGTAGTAGATCCTTAAGATCCCTAGTAAAGTCCAGGGATACCACGAACATTTTCTAAAAGGTCTTGAGCTTACATTGAAAGAAAAGATACTTAAAACAATTGCAGATCAAAATCTGTTTTGTCTGCTACTCCTCTTCCCCTCTCAAACATGTCTATGTTTTGTATCTTCTCTCAAAGCCGGGGAAAATTAAAAATGTTAACGGAGGAGGGCGCCTGGGTGGCTCAGTCGTTAAGCGTCTGCCTTTGGCTCAGCGTCTGCCTTTGGCTCAGGTCATGATCCCGGGGCCTGGGATCGAGCCCTGCATCAGGTTCCCAGCTCGGCAGGGAGCCTGCTTCTCCCTCTCCCCCTACTGTCCCTCCTGTTTGTGCTGTCTAGCTCTGTCAAATAAATAAATAAAAATCTTTAAAAAACAAAATGCTAACGGAGGTAGACTGCCATATAGAAACTGCCTTTTTACTTTGTTTCCTCTCCTGCTTCAGAACACCATTATTGGACAGACAGGAAAGAGCAGTGAGGTATTTGGAAGTTGGCATGTTTCCAAGGCACTGCATTGGGTCATACTTATTTTTTAACACAGTATTATAAGTTTTTCATTTTAAGATTTTTTTCTGATGATAATTATGCTTTTTCCTCTATTATCTAAACTTCCAATAAAGAAACTAAAATCACCAGTAATCTATCCAGAGAGAACAGTCAACATTTTGGTATTGTTTGCTACTAGTCTTTTTTTCTATTTTTAGCATATTTGATCATTCTATAGAATTTTATGTCTTGTTTTTTCCCTCTGTGGGCTGTTTCCTAGTTCTTTAAAATTTCTCATAAACCATTGTCAGTGGCTGCACAAAATTTCTTTAAAAAAAAATCTTCAATGGTCTTCTTTGATTCCAGATAAAATCTGGTAAAAGGTTATTATATATTTTAGTAAGAATTACATTAAAATTACCTAAAATCTGAACTGCCATTAAACATTTTGATGTAAATATTCTGGTCTCTTCTGTGTGTGTGTGTGTGTGTGTGTGTGTGTGTGTGTACTTTTAAAATCTGGATCATAATTATATCATTTTCTATTCTGTTTAGAACATTTATAGCATTTTCCTCTGTTTAGAACATTTATAGCATTTTCCTCTGTTCTTAAAAGTGTAAGAACATGGCTCCGTTATATTCCATATTCCATAATGTAATATGTTGAACATTTAAGTTGCTGGGACATGCTTACTGTTGTAAATTAGGCTATAATGAATATAATTTGTTTACAGATCTTTGTGAAGATCTTCGAGTATTATCTTACTTTAAAATTTCCCCATTAGACTGGAAAAGGTGGCACATGTATAACATTGTTTTCAAAGTGAGATTATACAGTAATAATATTTCAGTGAGCTTAAATATTTACATTTAACCTCAGTTCCCTAAGGGTTGCTCCTTTTGGATGGGTCTACTTGGCTCCTGAGAATTCTACAGTCAGTGACAGTCCCCTTGAAAGCCTCTGATCCTTGTGGTGATGCTGTGTTCATAGCTGATTACCTATGTTCTTATGAAGTAACAGATGAAAACAAAAGTATCAGCACAGGACTGCCCAGAGACCATAGGCAAGTCATTTAAGTTTTGCGGCTTCATTCCTAGCACTGTTTAGTTGTAAAATGCTATTGTAGAGTAACTGGTAATGGATAAAAATGGGCATAAATGTATATTTCTGATAATGTATGGCATTTAAGTACCCAGCATATACCATTTAGCTCACAGGGCCAAAATGAAAGTAAGTCATCCATGCAATATGGAGAATAGATGTAGAGAAATGTATCAAATCTAAATTTAGGTTGCCAATTTTTGAGGTAAACTGACTGATGGTCTTATGACTGAATGGGGTCTCACAATGCTTGATGCATTTTGGTGCATTTGATATCTAGTTCAAATTACTAATTTTCCAGAATCCTTGACTTTTTATCTTGATGATGGAGAAAAAAGAGACATTTACACATACCTGCTTTAGTTTTCTTTTCCCTTAACTACCTACTTGGTGGGAGGGGCAGGAGCAGGGATTGGCTGGAGAAACAAGATGTAGTAGTGTCAATGAAAGTTTACACGTAACAAAACTTGTCATATTTGGCTTAATTGAGGTTTTGCAGCCTACAGCAGTAATTCTCATTCCAGACATGTTGCTACATATCTTTGCTCCTTCCTTTCCTATCACTTCCTTTTAAAAATCACTTCATTACCTCTGTATCTCCTCTTTCTGCCTAAAAGATCTACTCTTTGGTGTAAAATTTCCCCCAGCCAGGTTACCAGTCTTCTTTGTATCAGCCTGGGGTTGCATTTTAAAATTTAAATGAACTTAATTTAAAAAGGAAAATAAAATACATTGTTAAAAGCTGTTATTTGTTAAGGCTGTGTTAGTGCTGTAATTTTTGTTTTATAGGTCCTAAGGGAAAGTTAATGTGTACCTCTAAGATTTTAAAAATACACAGTGACTTTAAAATTTGTCACTGTGCAGTTGGTTTTTTTCTGTAATCTTTCCTAACCTTTTTAGGTTATACCTTTTAGCAGTTAACACCTATAATTGCCTGTTTTTAAGATTTTGAACAATACAGTCTTTTTCATGCTCAAGTTTTGCACTCTGAGATAAAAATAACTTGTAAATTTTGCCAAAAAACTGGTCAGCTGTAGTTAGTTGCTTGTCATATGACAAATGGACTTGTGGAGCCATGTAATCTCTACAAATACTTTGCTTAAAATATATATACATTCATACCTGATATCACATATATTAAGGATATTTGATCCCTTCGCATACTGTGTTCTAACTGTGGAAATACTTTAAATTTCTTTCTTTGCAGTAGTTTCCCAAAATGATGTAATTACTTAAGCACTATCAAGAACAATGGAACTTAACTGATTGCATTATTTTGAGGCATCTTTTATTAAGATAAAATTTTAAATGCTCAAATGCCACTACTCCTAAATTTAGGTGACTAAAAAAATAGAAGTACATACATAATACACTACCTCACGCTGTCCTTCCCAAAACAGGCTGGGTTATATCTATTTGATTTATACACTGTGACTTTTTCCTGCTGTTTTCCATCAACCTTAATTGTGAAAAATGGTGCCATGTTGCCCTCTTGATATTATTTTGGAGATCAGTTAGGTCTTAAAGCATCCAGATGCATACAGTTCTACACATATCTGTAGAATTAGCTCACTAAGGTCTGCTCGGCAATATTTTTAATTGACTTACGTGTTCTGTGGGAAAAGAAGAATCGTAAAAAGTCTTTGCAGTTGCATTCCTCTCTTCACTGGGCTCTCCCTTGGGATCTGGATGGATACTCGAGTTATTCAAAGTGTCAGCAACTCTGTTAATGCTGGTAGTATCTGGTTGACAAAGAGGAAATGGCAACAACTGAATTTTATTCTCCAGGCGATCATTTTAGTGACTGAACTTGTTTTTCTCTGATCCTATCTATGCTTTTCTATTTAAAAAGCAGCAATTTCTATTTTGTTTTTACTTTGAACATTTTGTAGTTTTCGTTGACTTTGCTCTTAATATACATTAGGCATTTCATTTCAGAAAACAATTTTACTACTACTTTCTAAAACCCGGTTTCACGCTAAAATGAGTGAAATGGTATAAATATCTTCTAAAACAGAATCACTTCCATAAAATGTTACCCTAATTCCCCTGGTTATTGCATTGCCACAGATGTAAACATATTAAGTGAGCCATCTTAACAGTTAAGATTGATGGGAAAAAGTCTGAATCAACTAAAAGATTTATACAATATAAAGAAACCAGCCACAGTAAGACGCACAACAAACGGGATGACTAGTAGGGGTCACTGGAATTTAATAAGTAGATAAAAATGATTTAGATAAACATGTCAGCTTTGAAGGTTAAAAGATACTTGTATCTTTTATGAGTAGACATTTTACAAGTTGAATTTCTACAGAATTTTAGATCTCCCCTCCCATCCTTATTTATATCATTGAGATTTAACTTACAAGAAAGGCCTTGTGAGAAAACGGTAAACACAAGACCAGAACCTTAACAGCACTTGCCTAACTGCAGCATTCAACAGGTTCAAAATTAATGGAATCTGAAGTTAATACATTTATTTTAGTAGGAAAGTTTAGTGTGCAAAATGAGGTTTTAGAGTATTTTGGTGGTTTCTATTTTTCCCTGCATTACCTCTCCATTTATGCTAGTAAAGCTGATACCCTTATTTTGCTTTTAATTCCCAATTTTTCTCTTCAAAGTTCTATCAATTGCCTTTTTTTAAAGAATCCAGTAGCTCTGAGGGCCATTCAAAGCTTTCTTGTAATCTGCATTTCTTTAATGGGTCTAAAAGCACACTGTTAAAGTTCCCGGTAAAATCTAAGAATATCTTTAACAACCTCAATAACTTTCACTATGAGATTGCTATTAGTAAAGCAAACTTTTTTCATGATAATCTTAAACTGTTGTTCATTGTTCAGGTTACATCTGTACAGCATTTATACATGATATGTAGTATACTTGTATTTTTAAATATTTTTGCTAGGAAAAATTTCAAACACAAAAATAGAGTATGAACTTAGGACCATCACCCAGCTTAAACACCCATCAATGTTAAGTCCTATGTATTCATCCATTTACCTCCCCCTATTTTTTACTCTAGAATATTTTTATAAAGCAAAACTTGGGCACTTATTTCATGTGGTGGTTAGAATACACTATTCTTTGAAATGTTGAATATCTGAATGTTTTAATGTTGGTACATAACTAAGGGATTCGGTTTAAAGTGTTTGAGTTACAAATACCAATGATACGAAATGTATTAATGTTACACCTCAACAGCGCTTATAAAATGAAGAAAGCTGGATTCTAGTGCTGGTGAAGGGAAGCTAGAAGTAGACAAATCAAGGAAAGAGGGAGAAAATTGGGAGAAGAAAATAAGGGAAGTTTTTTCAGTATAGAATGAAAAGGAATAAATGTGCCCACCGGCAGAAGCCTTAACAACTGTGAGACTCCAATTAGATAGTTGTTGCTAATTTAAAATTAATGACCTGGACCTGTGGTTGTTTCTGCTATTTCCAGTTTCTTGGTGAAATTTTTTTTATTTCCAGAATGCATTTGCACATGTTGCTATTAGCGGCTCAGATTTAAGTGAAAAGAAATCCCCTCATTTAAATAAAACCTTTCCTACTTTTACATATATACATGTATAGAGTATCTTAGGTTTAGGTAAAAAAAAAAAAATACATTTTAAATGGTTTCATTTTAAACATAAACAGCCCCTTTATCAGGAATAAGGAGTAGAAATTCAAATTTTAAAAGAAAACATAAACATTGTTTTCTTACCTGGTCCAATATCCTTCCTGATATCATCATCATCGTTTTTACAAAGTGTCATTGAAACCGTATTTTTGTTTTCTGATGGGCCTACTGGTCTCTCCTTCAACAAAGGAATGCTAGAAGTTGAAGTGCTCGGTGTTTGACTTTTAGTTTGATTTACTTTTGACCAAGGACTAGGGTCTAAAAAATTCACATATACTGGAATTTTCTCAGTTTTTTTATCTGAAGTTGAAAGATCAAAGGCTGACCTTCCACTTCTGTTTACTAAATCTCCAGATGGCTTTATGTGAAATGAACATGATTCTTCCAGCTGTCCTTCACTGTAAATTTTTCCTGAAACGATGTCATTTAATGACTCTGTTTTCTCTGTATTATCTAACAATGAATGCTGTCTTTCATTGACATTCACAAAAAGGAAGAGGTCATTTTTTGTGGCGTCAGTTATCTGATTCTCATCAATCTGACTCTCTTTATTAGAAAACTGTATTTCTGTGGAAGTTTGCATAGGAACAGCAGTTTTCATGTCTTTTGCTTGTGAAGTATGTATAGTCTCATTTTTAACTTGAAGATGGGAAGTGGTTGCACTTTCTAAATATCCCAAACAGTTCTTCAGTTGACTAGTGTGCATCTCATTCAGATTTTTCCATATAGTTCTTTCACTAGGGCTTGAGTTGGGTTTCACCAACATAGGCATAATATTAACATTTTTATCTGAATTCTTAAGTACTTTCAAATTCTCACTGAAAGCAGCCGATGAAGGGTGGTTAGTTGCTGTATCAGAGGGAATAGTTAGTTCAGGTTTCTCTGAAGTATTACTACAGATCTGCTGAAAAACTGAAGTTTGTTTAAATGGCAATACACTGCACTCACTTTTTTTATTTAACAGTTGCATCTGGTTTATTTTACATTGTTTATCATCTAACATAACATTACTTGACTCCTGTAAACTGTATTTCTGACACTGAACAGCATTCTTTTTTACATTTAGAGATGAACCCAGATCTGCTTTGGTTTGGTCACTATTTTTAAGTTCCTTCTCTGTGACATTTTCTTGAATCACTGGAAGCAGTCTGAATCGTTTGAATGGTTCATCTTCAGAAACATCTTTCTTTTGATTTGTATGGTGAGCCATCATCTCACTTAAGATATTGTTAGATGATCTGTTATTTTCAACCTCCAGATGGACATCTGCATGGTGAAGCTCGAATCCTTCAGTTCTTTCTAGGCGTATCTTTTCTGTTTCTATTGATCTATCTGCCACTAAAAAAGAATTGTTTGGTGATTTAAACTCTGTACATCCATTGTCTTTTCCCGAATCCACCTTGTCTTTTATTTCTGAAGTAACTGCTTTTCTAAAGTCAGTAACATTCAAGGTTTGTCCTTGACTAATTAGTTCTTTTTCTGTGGCAAGGGCTTTGCTTAGGGAGATTTCACTCTGATTTTCATCCTGAGATATAGCAGGGTCAATTTCATTCTTTGAGCTTTTTTCAAAAAGCTGTAAATCTGTCATGATGAGAACACAGTATTTTTATATTATACACTAAAACCTGCTTTTATAAGACACAATGTATTACCTATTTATGTAAAAACATATTTAGCCTTAAATATCTCATTGGCCATTACACAAACATTATGATACCAATTTTACTAAATATTCAGTTCCCTTGGTCATAATATATATTTAGCATGCTAAATATTTGGCTCTACTCATATTAAATTTTTATTTCATAACAGCAAAAGTATTTTTGGTTTAAAAAGAGGGAAGTAAGTTGAGGGTATTAGGAAATGGTTTTTAATTTTCTAGTCTGTTATACTTCCTTTTGAGCATACAGTACAATTCCATGTAAACACACAGCCGAGTAAATAAAAATGAATTTATCCTAACAAGTTAGACTCTTAATTTCGATTACTACTGTCAAATATTTAACCAAGGAAATCTGAAGATCTAAATGGTTTTATTAAATGATTCATTGAATCAGCATCCTATCTAGCAAAGAGAAAAGAGCCCCAGTGAGCTACAGAAAAAAAAGGAAAGGTTTTTAAAGGTAGCGAATGAGTGGAAAAAAGAAATTATTAGCAAAGAATACATTGTTTTAGGCAAGGTTGCCCTCCTAAGGGGAAAGGAAGAGGTCTATCAATGGGTTTCTTATTGCTGACCAGGAAATTCCAGGTTGACTGATTAAAGGTTACATTCCTGGGGCTGAAGCTGCAGTTTGGTTAGGTATTAAGTTTTGGTTTGCTGACATGGGGTTCTTAACACGAGAGACTCCATTTTAGGCCTGTGGTTTTCTTTTTAAACTACTTAGGATCCAGAATTGCTGTTTCTTCAAGACTTGACAATCATCACTTTTTATTCATTACCTTCTAAGTATTTTAAAGTTTGGGGATACTTTTGGGCAAATGTATAGAATACTTACAACATATATTTTATTCATCTGGGTTTTAACCATAGATTTCAAAATTTCCATATAGTTAAAATTTAGAATACAAAATTCAGGACTTGAAGGGCTTTAGTCCATTCATTCTTTCTACAACGTCTCCACCAAGTGGTTGTTCAGCCTAGGTTTGAACACCTTCATACAGTTAAGTTTATGGTCTTTATAAACAATTCTTTTTCAAGACGGACAAATTAGTAAATTATTTCAATGGTTACAGACAGGCCATTTGAACTAAGAAAAGTGCTCTAGGTCTGATATCAGAAGGTTATTCGTATCCCAGAGAACACACTCCACAAAGCAGTGAATGCAGAAAACAATGCAAAAAGCCATGGAGTAAATGATAAGACAAAAACAGAATTTTCCCCAAAAATAACTGACTGTAAAGAATAGCTCAAAAGAGGCCTGTCTTAAGACATATACAAATGAAAAAGTGTTTCTTCAAATACAGTACAGGATTCTCAAAGCAAAGACTGTAACTGATATTCCCCTAAATTCCATAGATGGCCTAGCACAGCACTTTGACAGATCCTTTATTTTGGGGAGGGGCTCAATATATAAAATTAGAAAATAGCAATATGCTGGTTACCTTCTATAATGACTTCTACACATGGACCTTCTTTCTTCTCCTTTTCTTTGTAGGTAGTATCTGAACAAAAAGTATTTTTCTTTATTTCTTGCCCAGAATTGTATTTCTGTATGATGATGTTTTCTGATTTTTCCATTGACATTTCACTGTTTTTAGTATTTACTTCTGGAATATTCTAATGTAAAATGGAAAAAAATACCTTTAATGTAAAAACATATTGTTAAATAGTATAAGACTTCTGAACAAATTCTGTTGATGAAAGAATCTGTGTTTCAGGTCAACCATTCAGCAATTTCTATTTGAAAGCCAAATGACTTGCTAAATTTAATATACTACTCTTTGTAACAAGATCACTTTAACCTCATTTTGTATAGTTTATCATATTTAAACAAAATTGAGACCCTTTGAGGTTTTCAACATGCATTACACATTATTATGTAATCTCACACATTATATGTAATAAAATACCACTCTTTTATTAAAAGCAAGGTAGTTGTGGCTAGCGAATTGTTTTATGCATCTTTAAAACAGTGGATCAATTCAACATCCTTTTATTCCCCACACATATTCAGCACATACTCCATGGAAACACTGCACGAAGCTTTCGGATACAAGGATGAGCAACCTACAGACCCTAGTGTCAAAAAATAATCCAGGAGGAAGATAGGAAAAGAATAATCTCGATGAGGATAAGGAGGCACTCCAGGGAAACAAATGGCATATACAGATGCTAAATGCAAGCAAGATTATAGTCTTCTCGTGGAACTACTCAGGATTTATTTCAGCTAGAGCTTATATTGCTGGGAGAATGGAGAGAGATGATGCTTGAGGTAAGCTACGCCCAGGTCATTAAGGGCCAAATACAGCATGTGGAGGAGTTCCAAGAATACCATGAGAAGTCACTGAAGGGTTTTAGACAAGGTAATAAACATGATCTGATTGGAAAGACCATTCTGGCTGCAGCATCAAGAATAGATTAATGTTTTCTAAACTTCATTGATTAAAACCTGCAATGAGAAATAAATGTTCTACAACACAGCACACCAAATATCTACTCTTAATGAGATTACATTCTGTTTTCTATGCTACTTTAGTTCATTTTTTAAAGAATGCTGGTCACAGACCACTAAACTAATTTCCATGAACCACTAATAGGCTGTACTTAGAAGTCTGAAAAATACTGAATTAAAGGGAGACAGCATGAGGCAGAGAGATGCATCAGAAGAGTGTCATAGTGCCATAGTCCAGGCGATACCATTAGAGATGAAGAACTGAATAGATACACGAATTATTTATGAGCTAATAAACAGGACTTGATGAATGATAGGATATGAAAGAGTCAAGACTGAATCACAGTTCAGGTTAGGTATGTAGGTGACTGGTGGATGTTATTTACTCAACTAGAAAACAGTAGTCGCAGGTGTGGATGAAAATGTCATGGGTTGTTTGAACCTGCTTAGTGTGAAAAGTTAGTAAGATAATAAGGTGGAGATGTCTAATGAACATCCAGATTTATGAATCCGGAGCTTATGAGAAAATTTACCTGGAAATGTAAATTTGAAAATCATTGGTAGACAGATGGCAACTGAAGATGGACAAGTTGATGAGACTAAGTGAGAGTATATTTTGCAGGGAAAAAAGGGTAAAGGATAAAATGCTAATGAAATCCACAAATGAGGCAGAAGAAGAGAAACTTGCAAAGGAAAAATCTGCAAAGGAGAATGACAAAAACAGTATGGTAGTTACCAGGAGCTTTGTAGTCTTGGATAAATATGGGTTCAGATCCTGGTTTCAGTACTTACTAAGTGTGAAATCTTAGAAGAAGATATTAGTTATCTATTGCTGTGTAACAAATTACCCAAACTTAGTGGTATAAAACAGCAAATATTTATTATGCCATAGTTTCAATGAATCAGGAATTCATTAATGACTTGGCTTGATGACTCAGGGTCCCTCATGAGGTTCTAGGCAAGCTGTCATTACTAGAAGTCTTAACTGGGGCTGGAGGGTCTGCTTCTAAGAAGGCTCACTCAGTGGCTGGCAGTTGGTGCTGGCTGTTGGGTGGGGTGCCTAAGTTTTCTTCTATGTGGCCTTTCTTCCTCTAAGGCCTCTCTTCACAATGTGGCATCTTAGCAAATAGCCTGGGCCTTGCATAGGCTCAGAGAAAGAGGCACAGAAAGACTGAGTGGTGCCTCTTAAGTGGTGCACCTAAAACAGAAACCACAGTCATCTTAAAACCTAATCTCAGAAGTCATATCATATCACTTTTACTGTTACTTTATTAATTAGAAACAAGTCACTAAATTCAGCTCAGACTTGGGGAGAGGATTACAAAAGAACATGAATAAATGGAGTAGGAATCACTTGGGGCTGTCTTAGAGGCTGCCTACAATACTTAAAACACTGTGAGTCTATTTTCTCATCTATAACATGAAAATGTGAAGATTAAATTCAATTATGTATTAATGCATATAACTCATGGTTGCCTAATTAATGATAAGAATAACATTTTCACTTTTAAGAGCAGTTTGAGAGGTAGATAGAAAACAGATGAGTGAAATATGACAGGAGAAAAGGTATTCAAGAAGGAGATAGTATCAATGTACACTATCAAAGGGACTGAAAAATGTCCTCTGGAAGTAGTGTCCATTTGATGGAGTGGGAGGGTTGAAGCCAGATTGCCCTATGTTGAAGGATAAATGGGAAGGAGGGAAGTAAAGAGTATGGAAGTAAAGAGTATTAGACCACTCTTTTCAGATTTAAAGAGTATGAGTTTGAACCTGATGCTACAGGGAGAGAACAGACTTGTATTTAGAGATGGACACAGGATCAAAAAAGTCTTTGTGTACTTTGTAAAATGAGAGAAACCTGAGCACGTTTAATTGTAAATGGGAAAATATAAACTAGTAACTCACAAAATAAATATAATTGACAAACATAAGAAAGTATGTTTAAAATAAAAATGAAAATTAAAACTGATTAAATATTCAGAGTTTGGGTATACAGGTATTGTTATATGTGGTTGGTGGGAGTATAAACAATCTTCCTGGAAGGCAATCTCACAATATGTGTCAAAATTATAAGTGAGCAAGCTCTTTTTTTTTTAAAAAAGATTTTTATTTATTTGAGAGAGAATGAGAGATAGAGAGCACGAGAGGGAGGAGGGTCAGAGGGAGAAGCAGACTCCCCGCTGAGCAGGGAGCCCAATGCAGGACTCGATCCCGGGACTCCAGGATCATGACCTGAGCCGAAGGCAGTCGCTTAACCAACTGAGCCACCCAGGCGCCCCTGTGAGCAAGATCTTTGATCCAGCAATACTATTTCTGGAAATTTATCCTAAAGAAATAATCACACAAGTACACAAAGATTCACAAATCATTCAATAAATCCCAAGCAAAATATGCAATGCAAGCAACAATGGAACAGCATCTTCAAATGAATGAAAGAAAAAACTGTCCATCTAGAATTTTATATCCAGTGAAAATACCCTTTAAAAATTAAGGAGAAATAAACACTTTTCCAGACAAAAGCTGAGAGAATTCCTCACCAGATATCCACACACATGTGCACGCTTACACACACATGCACAAATATTAAAGGAAGCTCTTCAAGCTGAAGTAATAGGATACCAGCTAGAAACCTGGATCTACACAAACGAATAGAGTGCCTGAAATGGCAAATATGAGTGAATGTAAAAGACGTTTTCTCTAATTCTTCATTTTCTTAACCAGGTAATTAACAAGTTAAAATAAAATAAATAATATATGGTGGAGTTGATAACATATGTAAAAGTAAAGTGTATTATAAAAATATCACAAAAACCAGGAAGCAGAAAATGAGAACATAGTATTGTAAGCTTCTTACTAATCAGAGAATTTGGCATAATATTATTTAAAAGCAGACTATGATCAATTACTCTAGAAAAGCACTTTGCAAACTATGGCCAGTGGGCCAACTCGGGCCTACTGTTTTCGGAAATATTCTTTTGTTGGTACACAACCATGCCCATTTATGAATGAACTTAATGCCACTGAACTGCACACATAAAAATAGTTTAAGTAGTAAATTTTATGTATATTTTACCAGAATAAAAAATATGCAAGAAACAGTTCTCAAAGAGAAAATAAAAGACTTCTTCATGTCATTACTCAATCATGAATATTCCCATTAGAAAAAGTCACAGGATTGAAAAGGACACATAATGCAAGCACTAACCATAAAAGATGGAATAGCTGTATTAATATTATACAAAATAGATTTTAAGACAAGAAATATTACTAGGAAAAAGATGGATATTTCATAATGATAAAACGATCAATTAATCAGGAAGTCATAACAATCATAAATGTATATATACCTAATAACAGAGCTTAAAAACACATGAAGCAAAAACTGACAGAACTGAAAAAAGAAAGATAAATTCACAGTTATAATTAAAGATTTCAATAGTCTTCTCCCACTAATTGATAGAACAAGTATACAAAAGATTCAGTAGGGATAGAAAAGACTTGAACAACATTATCAACCAGCCTGATCTAACTGGCATTTATAAAACATTCAACCAACCAATAACAGAATACACATTCTTTTCAAGGGCACATGAAATAGTCACCAAGATAGGGGCGCCTGGGTGGCTCAGTCAGCTAAACGTCTGCCTGCAGCTCAGGTCATGATCTCAGGGATCGAGTCCTGTGTCTCTGGGATGAGTCCTGCGTCTTTCTTAGGCTCCCCGCTTAGCAGGGAGTCTGCTTCTCCCTCTGCCTCTGCTCCTCCCCCCCCTTGTGTGCATTCTCTCTCTCTTAAATAAATAAAATCTTTTTAAAAAAGAAAAAAAAAAGAAATATTCACCAAGATAGATAATAGGCTTGGCTAAAAAACAAGTCTTTTTTAAAAGGATATTTATAGGGCGCCTGGGTGGCTCAATTGGTTAAGTGACTGCCTTCGGCTCAGGTCATGATCCCAGAGTCCTGGGATCGAGTCCCACATCGGGCTCCCGGCTCAGCGGGGAGCCTGCTTCTCCCTCTGACCCTCTCCCCTCTCATGCTGTTTCTCTCTCTCAAATAAATAAAATCTTTAAAATAAATAAATAAATAAAAGGATATTTATATTTAAAAGGATGTATTTATATTTAAAAGGATAAAAGTCTCATAGAAAATGTTCTCTGACCACAACTAAATTATATTGGAAATCACTAACAGAAAGAAATTTGGAAAATTCTCAGATACTTGGAAATTAAACAACAGTTATAGGTCATACCCATATGGTTTATGCCCATACCAATGGATCAAGGAAGACCTTACAAAAGGAATTCTAAAATATGAATAAGCATGGAAACACTACATATCGGAATTTGTGGGATGAAGCTATAACAATGCTTTGAGGAAAATTTATAGCTTTATATGCTTATATTAGAAAAGAAGAAAGACCAATAATCAATGATCTAAGTTTCCAAGTTAAGCACCTAGAAAAAAGCATATCAAATCCAAAGTAAGTATGATGAAAGAAATAATTAAGTTAATAGCAAAAGCCAATGAAATAGTAAATGAACAAAAATGAGAAGGAAATCAATGAAGTCAAAACCTGGTTCTTTGAAAAGACCAATAAAATTGAAAATCTAGCTAAATTGATGAGAGAGAGAGAGAGAGAGAGAGAGAGGAAGAAGAAAAAGGAGGAAGAGGAGGAGTGGGAAGAAGAAGAAAGGCAGGACAATACAAATGAAAGAGAAGAAATCAATACAGATCCTAGAGAGGAATGTAAAAATAACAGAATATCACGAGTAACTCTCTGCCAACAAATCTGACAACTTAGATGAAAAGGACAGTCCCCAGAGAGACAAAAATTACCAAAAACGACTGTGGTGTAAATCTCTAAGACTACTCCCTGGTTCTGTGATTTGCTAGGAAGGCTCACGGGACTCAGGATACGGTTGTACTAATGACTAAGATTTATTACAGCAAAAGAATACAAAGCAAAAACAGCACAGGGAAAATGCATATCAGGGTGGAGTCTGGAGCAAACCAGGTACCAACTTTCAAGAGTCCTATCCCAGTGGAGTCACCCAGGACATGCTTAATTCCTGCAGCAGTGAATTGTGACAACAAGCATGAATTTTCTTCCACCAGGTAAGCTCATCAGAGATTCAGTGCTCAAGGATTTTTTGGGTGCTGGTCATGCTATCTGCCTAGCATGCACCAGAACTCCAGACTCCCAGTAAGAAAACAGATGTTCAGATAACCACAATGTTTGACTAACAGTTTAGGCACAGTGAGCCACTCCTGGCAGTTAGGTAATGGTGGGGAACCTTCTCCAGATCCAAGTTTCCAGGTATCAGTCAAGGGCCAACTTTATAAGCAGGCCTTTCTAAGGATAGCATTCACAGGCCTCTCTGTTAATTATTTTCTTCTGCACACCAACACAGGAAGAAATAGAGTGAACTGCCCTATAAATAATACTTAATTTGTTATTAAAAATATTCCCACAAAGAAAAAGCATAGATAGCTTCACTGGCAAATTCTAATATTTAGTAAAGAATACCAATTCTACACAATACTCTTTCAGGAGGAGGGAACACATTCTAACTCATCTTATGAAGTATTACTCTGATATGAAAACCAGACCAAAAGAATACAAAGAAAAAACAAACAAAACCTACAGATCAGTATTCCTAATCAATGCAAAATCCTTATAGCATTAGCAAATTACATCCAGCCATTTATAAAAAAGAAAATACATACTCCAGGAATGCAAGGTTGTTTTAAATTTGTAAGTCAATTACTGTAATTAATTGGTTAATAATAACATATTAACAGAATAAAGAAAAAATGATTATCTCAATTAATACAGAAAAACCATTTCACAAAACTTAATACCCATTCATGATAAAAACTCAGCAAACTAGGAACAGAAGAAAACTTCCTCAATCTGAAAACATATACAAAAAACCTATAGCTAACATCATATGAAATGGTAAAAGACTAAAAATTCTCCATCTGAAATGGAGGAACAAGGCAAGCAAGTCCACTGTCACAACTTTCATTTGACATTGTACTAGAGGGTCTTCGTTACTGTAATAAATTGAGAAAAAAGTTAAATTCATACAAAGCAGAAGGAGATAAAACTTCCTTAAATTCACAGATGACATGATAATGTACACAGAAAACCCAAAAATTAGGGGGAAAAAAAAACTCTACCATTACAATAGATTTTAAATAGCAACAGGATACAAGGTCAATGTATAAAAATCAAATTTTACTTCTATATACTAGCAAGAAACAATTAGAAAAATTAACGTTTAAAATACTGTTTATAATAGGATTCTAAAACATGAAATATTCAGGGATAAATTTCACAAAACATTTTAAAGACTTACACAATGAAAATTACAAAACATTTCTGAGAAAGATATTAAAGACTGTCTAAATAAATGTAAAGATATACCATGTTCATGAATTGGAGGACTCAATATTAAGATGTCAATTCTTCACAAATTAATCTACAGATTCAACACAACCCAAAATCCCACAGACTTGTCTTTTAGAAATTGACAAACTGATTCTAAAAACTATCTGGAAATGCAAAGGACTTAGAATAACCAAAACAATTTTGAAAAAGAAAAAAAAATTCAAGGACTTGCACTACCACATTTTAAGCCTTCTTACAAAGCTACAGTAATAAACACAGTGTTGTATATTGACTTAATGATAAACATATAATCAATGGAACATAATGAAGAATTCAGAAATAGATCCACACATATATTAGATCAACTAATTTTCAAAGAACATACCAAGGTACAATGAGAGAAAAAAAGTCTTCTTAAAAAAATGTGTGTATTGGAACAACTGGAAATCCATGTCCAAAAAATGACCCTCAATCTTTATATCATACTGTACACAAAAATTAACTGAAAATGTATCACAGACTACATGCTTATACTCATTTTTTAAAAGTTGGGACACTGAAAATACAAAGCAGAGAGAAATCATCAGTAATAGTCCTAATTTCTTTAAGTTTTGTACCCTCCAGACACTTGAACTTTACCTGAAACTTCTTGTCTTCCTCAAACTTCTTCTGATCACATAATTCATTGTAATGTTCTTGTAACTTAATATGAGTTTCTTTAAGTGATGATAACTCATTTTTAATTTCATTAATTTCTCCATTAAGTTCTTCAACCTAATATAAAATTTAACCAAAATGAATAGTTATGTAAATGTGTTTTGTATGGGGGCGCCTAGGTGGTTCAGTCAGTTGAGCATCAGACTCTTGGTTTCAGCTCAGGTCATGATCTCAGGGTCATGAGATTGAGCCCTGGGTTAGCCTCTGCACTCAGCAGGGAGTCGGCTTGAGATTCTCTCCCTCTCCCTTTGCCCCTCCTCCCCACTCTCGTGCTCTCTCTCAAATAAATAAATAAATCTATCTTTAAAAAAATGTTTTGTATGAAGATATTTTATTAACACAAGCTTTTGGAAATAGTAAAAAAAAATAAAAATGATCCCAAAGTAATTACTAATATTGAGAGCTACCATTTATTGAATTGTGCTGAGTACTTAATAAATACAATTTCATGCTCATAAAAATCCCCAATTTACAGGTGAGAAAGGTGAGGTTCACATATGTTTAAGTAATTTGCCAAGATCAGGTGGATATAGTTGGGATCCAAACCCAAAGCTAAATATATGGGTTGTATTCTTAACTACATTAACCGACCTCTTGTTACAAATGAAAAATTATTATTTTTAAAATTCTCTAAAAGTTACACCTTCATCACTTTCTTTAAGTTTCATTTTCTTGTTGCAAATCAGACATACAGATCTTAACTCAACTGAGTGACGAGTAGTGAGCACTAAGTAGTGCAAAAATAACTGACACTTCAGCCTAATATTTACATCTATAAACGGGGCTTTCACTGGCTATTTAAAATCTCATAATCTTTTTCTTGGGGGAGTACTCTTTCTTGGGAACCTCAAATATAAGACAAAGTAAGTGCCACTGAGTCCCTGTAGAGGCTAACAGACATGAACTCACCTATTACTTTCCCTTCATCTCATCTATTTTTAACCTTTTAAAGATCTGTGCAAGGTCCTTCTTTTCCAAGGCTCAACTCTCAATGAGTTTTTTTATCCCATCCTTTCCTATCCCCCTCAAGGCCTAGTCTAGCACTAATCTCTTCTCTGTTGCTTATTCACAATCCTTCTCACTATACCAGCATGTTCTCTTCAGCCTTACAAATAGAACTAGAACAAACAAACCTTACAAAAAGAATATGCTCTTCTGACAGCCTTAACTCATTTTTCTCCTTGACCCAATTACTCTCTCTCTCCTTTTTATTTAAAGATTTCTTTTAGAGAGAGGAGAGAGTGTGCATAGGTTGGGGGAGGGGCAGAGGGAGAGAATCTTCAAGCAGAATCCCCGCTGAGAGTGTTGCATGACACGGGGCTCAATCTCAAAACCCTGAGATCATGAACTGAGCTGATACCAAGAGTTGGACACAACAAACTGAGCCACCAGGCGCCCCTCCCACTTCTTTAATATAAAAGTCCACACTTGGCTACTTTCAAATTCTAACTTCCCATCACTCCTTAACAACCTGACTCGTGCCCTCACTGTTCTACAGATTTCCCCACCCCACAGATATAACTTGCAAATTAGCAAAAGGATTTTTCCCAAGTTTCATGTCATTTAACAGCTCTGTAGCATGACTATGTTGACTACTTGTTCTTGGAACAGCCTCTTTTGTTTTCATGGCATTACTCTTCCTTTATCCTCCTCGCTTTCTCACCGTTCTTACAGGCTCCCTCTCCCACCCTGCCCCAACACACACACACACCCTACTCTTTCTTTTTTAGCCTTCTTCTATAGTTCTCCACTCCTTCGATAGATGATTATAACTATACCTTGAAATTTTATCTTTATGCTAATAAACCTTAAATCTGTATCTCATCTCCCAACTTCTCTCCTAAGATTAGATTCACATTTCCAAATGCAGAGTATGCATTTCAGGCTAGATGTCCTGCAGGCAATATACATTCAACAGCTTCCAAATTAAACACATTATTTTCATCTACCAAATCTGCTTCTCCTTTCACATTTCTTGTGTCAGTTAATGACATTATCATTCTACGCGTTATACTAATCTCAGAGTCCTGTTTGACTCCTTTCTCCTTCTAATCTTTATTATATAAAAAATATCACTATCCTGCCAATTCTTTTAAATGTTTTTTACATCTATTCCTCTTCTCTGTTCTCACTACTACTACCCTAATTCACACCCTCATGGGTTCAAGGTTAGATTATTTACAGTATTCTTCTTGCTGGTCTCTCTCCATAAAGCCATCCTCCATACTGTTGTAAGTTATTTTTCTAAAACTCAGATCTGACTATGTCACCCTTCTGCTTTAATATTCTCAGTGGCTTTCCATTACTTATAAAATAAAATTCAACTTCCTTAGTAAGGAGACTTTTGGAAGATGATCTCAACCTATTTTCCAATGTCACATTCCACATATCCTATGCTTTATTCAAATCAGACTGCTCATCACCCTTGAAAATGCAGTTTCATGCCTCCATGATTTTTCCCATTCTTTACTAAATGGAATGCCAACAAGATGGAAAGAGAAGTATAGGAAATGGGCACATATTGTTGGTGAAACCTTATTTATCTTTCGAGGCTAAACTAGCGTCATCTTTTCCCTAAAACTTTCTCCAACTTAGCTAAATGATAGGATTTATTTTGTTCTTTCACAGTAATTTGTTAATACTATTAAAACCACTCCATGCTATTGCACTCAATTTCATAGTTATCTGTCCATTTGAATGTGAGCTCTTTATTGATCTTTGTATTTTAGGCATCTCTGAAAATCCAGTACCTAGAATAATGCCAAACACACAGTAGATGCTCAATAAATGGTGTGAATTGAATTCCTTTTGTGACCTGCCCTCTCCTCTAAATAATTTCTGACCATTCTCATTTATTGTCTTTTTGTCTATATATACCCATTACTATAGAACTAGTCAAATGAAAACAGATACACGTACACTGTTCTTTGTAATATTTCTATGAATTTTAACTATATTGTCTAAAAATATTCACAAAATTTTATTTGTATAATATCTCTTTCACTGTTTGTTTTTTGGGGAAATAGCTGTTTGTATGATTCCATCTTAGTTTTGTCTGTATCTTTTTAAGTTTTAAAAACCCATCTTGATCCAAACTCAGTAGGAATACTTTCACTGTTCTTCACTCAAGAATGGTGAAAAACTTACATAGAGATAGAAATACAATTAAAGAGTAGATCTGACCTCCCATTCAAGAAAACTCTTACATATAATCATAGCAGCTTTTTCTTTAAAAAAAAAAAAGATTATTTATTTGAGAGAGAGAGCACGCGTAAGAGAGAGAGCATGAGCAGGGGGGAGGAGCAAGGGGAGAGGGAGAAGAAGACTCCCCACTGAGCAGGGAGCCTGATGGACTCAATCCCAGGACCCTGGGATCATGACCTGAGCTGAAGGCAGATGCTTAACCAACTGAGCCACCCAGGCACCCTCAGCTTTTTCTTACTTAACTATGTTCTATTTAGTGCTAAAGCATATGGAAGTGAAATGACTGTAGAAGCTAAAAAATCCTAAGACAAAACCAATTTCATACAAATTTATAGACTGAAGCCTCGCCAGTGAAACTGAATGCATATTTTTCTTCATTCAATTGATTTTTTTCCTTGTGGGAGGGGCATGGTGATGGTCTCAGGGGAAAATGAATTTTAATTTTCTGAGTGCAACTAATCTCTTTTTGGCATGGTTGACATATTTCAGTATATTCTCTTTTCACTTTACAGTTTTCCTTATCCTGACAGTACCATTTCCATGGTTTTTAAACATCAGGAATGAGAAGGAAGTGTTAGGATGCAATGTGAATTTGCTGAAGCTAAAATGAATATTACTATGCTTGTTGCTTAATAGTAAACTATAAAGAGTAAGCATTTTTTAGTATTCTGATGCAACTAACTACAAAATACTTTTTGAGATTTGGACAAATCTTACTAAATTCATCAGTGAAGACTTGATCTCTCCAAAATACAAATTAAGGGAACATGTTAGCTGGGAATGAAGTGAAAAGTCGAGTTACTTATATAACAATTTATATCAAAATTGTCTACAAGAAAATGTTTATCAAACTGGTATCTGGATATATATTAGTATAAAATATATTACATTATTATAGTATTAGGAAAAATACAGAATTAGTATAATAGTCCAAAATATCATCTTTCTTTCCCAAAATATACTTTTCATAAACTCATAGTGACTTGCTACTGTGTTAATTCTTTTAAAAGAATTGAAAGGAAATGAAAATACATATTAAAATAGAATAATCAATTTTGAGGTCTACCAATCTTTAAAGTGAACCTTTATTTTTTACAACTTTAATTTATACCATTTCATACTTTTATTGTCTACTTTACTAAAATGAAAATTTAGTGTAAAATAAATGGATGTGGTTTAAGGAAACAGCTATGTTTATAACATATCAACTCTTTATGATAAAATGTTAGTACTACAGAACTCAACTACTATATACATGTTCTAAACATGGCTTTAATACAGCTCAACAAAACTGCTGAGGAAAGCTAAATAGATCAGTTAATAGTACCTATATAGTTATTTTAATCATTTTCTAAAATACTGCGTTTTATGAAAAGATAAATTTTTTTTGTCACATATGGGAAGTCATTCAAATTATATATATCAATATTTATATTAGGAATACACACACATGCATATGTGTGATTTTTCATGCATGAAAGCATTATAGGCAGTTTTATTAAATTTAGCTTTTCAACAGCATTTACTTCTTGGAAACACAAGTTCAAGAAGAATATGTGTCTGACTTTATTCCTATATTGTTTTTGCAATATTTTCTTAGCATTAATAGTTATTTTAAATGTCTACAACTACTTAAATTATTTTAATATTTTACTATTTAATAAACCTACATGCTTTTTCCAAGTTCCCAGTGCTTTCTCATGCTCATTTTGAAGATTAAGGAACTTTTCTTCATTTTCTTTTACCTTCTCCCTTTGCAGCTCATTATCTCTTTCAAGGGTCTGCAATAAAATTAATTATCCAAAAAATAATCAATACCACATTAATGAATTTTGATGTGTTTTATGTTGCTTGGACCTTTGCTTCTAACATGCTGAAAGTGCCATACAGATCAGTGATAATGTGCTATCTCAACAATAATTTTCATAAATTAACAGAAAGGTGCTTATAGTTTAGTTAACAGGAAATAGGGGGAGGTTATGAAAAAGAAATGGCTATAAAAGGGTATAAAAACATTGCCATTATTCAGTTTCACTGCATAAGTTTTAATGTCCTGAAAAAGTAATATAAAGTACAGCACTGAAAAATATGAAATGTAGCATAATCCAGCCTAACTCTACTACAAAATCGTAACTACCACAGAACATTTTTCCATATCTGTTTATTTTAGAAATTAACTGGCTAGAAAACCCTTAAATACAATTTTAATTTTTAATTTCAAATTAACACTTTTTTAGTACAGCTTCAATATTTATCATATTAACTTATTACTTCATAAATTAACGTAATATAATCACCACTACACCACCCTCCCCCCTCAAAAACCTTTAAGAGTAAAAATACTGTTTTCTAAGACAAGGGTTTTAAAGTTATTAAACTACTGTCACCAATATTATTAGGTTTCTTCAATGTCTGCTGATAATCCAAGTAAACTTCTGTAAAAAGATAGATAGTTAAGAACTCTACCCACATGTCTAATACATCTGGAATTAAGTTCACTTGTTTATCATTATTAAAGTTATTTACATTCAGGGTAAACATTTCAAGCCACACAAAGGATACAGAAAGAAAGGTAACATGTCCTTCTATCAGCTCTCCAGTTCTCCTCCCCCAGAGGTAACCACTCTAACAGTTTCTTGCGTAGCCTTCCAGAAACTGTCTCTAAGCACACAAGTATATAAAATATATCTTTTTAAATACAGATGAGACCATACCGTACATATCATGTTCTTCTGTAATGTTTTTTCTTAAAAAAAAAAAAAGTAGTTCTTGCTTACTTTCCATACCATGAAGTACAGATCTATCTAATTTTAAAGGCTTCATAGTATTCTATTTAAAGAGTTCTCAATTATATCTAGAATACCAATACATAATGACATAATTATGTAAAATTATGGAAATACCTAATAAAAAGCATTTTACAGTTTTAACATTAAAATTCTCCTCTAGCACATAAAGAACATTATTGCACTTCAATAGCCTGCAATGAATACCTATTTTGCCTGCCTTTACTTCAAGATAATGTAAATATTTTTATAGAAGTCATGTGTTCTTCTTAATTTATAGGCAAATAATAGAGCAGTTTCTAAATATTTACGTGTTTATTTAATAGATGCTTACTGTTTTAACATTTTAACTAATACAGTATCTATTTATACTTACAACACCATATTTTGGAAGATATACAAATCAAAGTTTGGAGGAGATGTGAGAGAATATACTACCATATCTATTTAGTGATAATAAATGACCAAGAGTATTATGTTCTTAAAACAGTGTATCAGATATGTCAATCATTTCCTGTCCTGACCCATACATACCCTCATCTAAAAGAAACTGCCTATATCAGATACTCTCATTTTTTTTTTAAAGATTTTATTTATTTATTTGACAGAGAGACACAGCAAGAGAGGGAACACAACCAGGGGGTAGTGGGAGAGGGAGAAGCAGGCTTCCCACTGACCAGGGAGCCCGATGCGGGGCTCAGTCCCAGGACCCCGGGATCATGACCCGAGCCGAAGGCAGACGCTTAATGACTGAGCCACCCAGGCACCCCTCAGATACTCTCCGTTTCCACATTTTGGAGACTTTCCATCCTTCCATTATAATTTGGACCTATTGCTCTTTCAGTCTGCTACACTGATCAGGTGACCTCTGAGGATTTCCTTCTCTCTTCTGGGGTTGGTCTCTTGGCGCCTAGATTCTACTTCCTCTTTCCTGGTTTATTCCCTTGTCTTGGTAAAGCAAACCTTCCATTACTTCCCGATAAAGGAGGCACAGATGGCACATTTTTTGAGGCCCTCCATGTTGAAAATATCTTTTTTCTACCAACACATAACAATTCATTTGGCTGAATACAGTACAATTTTGCTTTAGAAATCAATTTCTTAGGGGTGTCTGGGTGGCTTAGTCAGTTGAGCTTCCAAAACTTGATTTTGGCTCAGGTCATGATCTCAGGGTCATGAGACTGAGCCCCATGTAGGGCTCCACACTCAGCGAGGAGTATCCTTGTTCCTCTCCCTCCCCGTCTACTCCCCCTCCCTTCTCTGTCTCTCAAATAAACAAAATGTTAAAAAAAATCAATCTCTCTCCAACCACTGAAGGCATGGTTCTATTATCGTCTATCTTCCAGCACTACCAGTGAGAAGCCTGAAGTCATTATGTTGCCGTTCTTATTCTTAATCCTTTGTATGTGACCTAATTCTTTTTTCCACAGAGTTTTAGAATCTTCTCTTTTAGTATAAAATTTCATAATGATATACATTGGTTTTGAGCAAAACAAACTCAAATTCTTCAGTTCTAGGTTACATTCTCCTATTATTTCTTTGGTCATCTCCTCTCTTTCCATTTTCCCTGTTCTCTCTGAAACTCATTAGACCTCTTGGACTGAAACCCTAATATTCTTTCCCTTCTGTTTTCCACCTTCTTGTCTTTTGGTTCTACTTCCTAGAAGACTATCTCAATATTACTCTCCAAACTTTTCACTGTACTTATGTCTGCTAAAATATTTATTTTAAAGTTTCTCTTTAATTCTGAGTTTTTTTCTAAAGACTCCTAATTCTTGTTTTTATGGATTAATAAATATATTTCTTGTAATAGTGTGTATTTTCTTAGTTTCTCTAATTTTTTTTCATTACCCTGTTCGTTCTGTCTGATTTGCATGGTAGAGACTGTCTTCAAGTGCCCAGTGATCCTTAACTGCATGTTCATATTCAGAATGAAGTATTAAAAAGCTGGTTGAAAGTTTTGTCAACTGTAGGTTGATCTGGTTGAGCAATTTCACTGGGAACACTTCACTGGAACAGCCTGAGCAAGTTAGTTCCCCCAGAGAGGAAACTTCATTCTCCTGTCTGGAAGTGGTAAAGCTAGCTGTTCTCTAAATGGGGAAACAGAGCAGGGAGGTCTCAGATTTCAGTACTTAGATTTCCACCCTGTTTTCAATATAATTCTCTCAGGAACATATTGGTAAATTGGCTCTAAAAATTTTTTTTACAGCATTTGTCAATTTTAAACGTTCCAACCAGGGGCAATTTCAAGCCACCACTAGTTTTACAACCAGTTCACAAAATGACAAGAACTTTAACAAACAGCTCTCCCTGGTATAAGCTGTCTCGAGAATACTACTGGATTTCCCAACCTCAGTTGCCCTCAGACTCTCCAACATGAATTGCCAATCTTCTGCCAAGTAGAAGACAGGCAGTGCCTTTTTGTGCAGGGTAGGGAAGAGAACTGGGAGGTAAGATAGCTTCTAGCTTTTTATACAGACCTTCTAGCTCTTGGCTTCCGTTGCACATCCAGCTTCTAGAGGCACATGATGCAATTCCTGAGCATTCCTGCACCTTTGACTTGAGTTTCTACTTTCTTTCATTTGCTAAGTAAATTACTAATTTTCCATTTGGTTCCCACTTAAAACTTAATTTTTATTGTTTCTTCTCTTTATTTACTTGTCCTTGTGGATTTATTAATGTCATTTTATTACAGTTTCAGAAGGAAATAGAAGTTAATGTGTAGGTTCAATTCAACATGTTTAACCAGAAGCCCAGATCTGGCAATATCTGAACTTACAAAGATTCTGAATTTATTCATTTTTAATCATTCATTAATTTAATAAAATTTAATGAGCTCCTACTGTGTGCCAGATACTCTTTTAGGCTCTTAATGCTACATGCATGAAACTGTTACTGTTCTCGTGGAATTTAGACTTTATCAGAAAATTATTTGTATCTGGATTAACAAACCCAAAAGCCATTCTGAAAAAAATGAATATTGCAGCAAGTCAAAATAAAATCATCTGTTAATGTTTTAATATACCACAACCTAAGTAATTTAACCCTGGCTAATACTATGACTATAGGAGCAAACTAAGTAAATTATTCTTGTTAAACACTATGACTACAGCAGCAGAAATACACTACGTTTAGACTAAACTATAATTAAATCATAGTAGAAAATATTCTCTCTCATGAGAATTCAGGTCTCTATGCTCCAAACTATACCATTAAAAAAACGAGACAGATGACAGCATGATTGCAGAGCACTGAAAAAAAAGTAGGCCATTATGAAGAGTAATGATCCCTTTTAATACAGGTAGAATTAGAATGCTCCTCAAGAAAAACACTTGAGATATCTATGCAGCATAATCTTCAGCAACAGTTCAACACCAATATTTTGTTATACTATATATCAGTGGTTCTCCAAGATCAGTCTATAAAGTACTAATCCATGACAAAATTACACTAGTTAATGGCAAACAAAGTCTATACAAGTCACCAAATGTCTTTTCTTGTAAAGGACTGTATCTATTCTGAGATTATATCCTTAATATGTGGCATTAAAATATTCTTTTTTATAAAATAAAAGCGATGACAGAGGGTGTTGCTTATTTTTAATGTCCTTACTTATCAAAATAAAAAGTTGACCATTCTATCTTGTTCTTGTCAATACTTTGCATGAAATTTCCATATGAAATCTAGTTTCTCTATGTACTATCAAGGCTCAAATAATAATGGTGCTAGTTAAAGAGGCATATGGATTATCTAAGATATTGGCACTTAGAGGTAAAAGATCCTGGGACCATAGTTAGAGTCTTTGTTAACTCAAAGAAACACGTGCCTGTATGTCTCTGTGACTACTGCACACTCCACAGAATTCAACAACACATAAACATTGCATTTAGAGCTCGTGAAGGGTAATTTAAAAGTCGTGGTTTTAGAATAAGTAATCTAACAAAGGTGGCAGTCTCACTGATCTAGGAAGAATACAATAACATTGTAGTGTTGTAGAAATGGTCCTAGAGTAGAATCAGGTCAAAAATTTAATTTTGGGGGGGCGCCTGGATGGCTCAGTCATTGAGCATCTGCCTTCAGCTCAGGTCATGATCCCAGAGTCCTGGGACCGAGCCGCACATCAGGCTCCCTGCTCGGTGGGAAGCCTGCTTCTCCCTCTCCCACTCCTCCTGCTTGTGTTCCCTCTCTCGTGTGCTCTCTCTCTCTCTCAAATAAATAAAATCCTAAAAAAAAAATTTAATTTTGGGTTTGCCACTAATTAGGAAGCCTTGAACTGTATCACTTACACTTTTTGGATCTCTAGTTCACCATGAAATGAAATGATGGGATTGGCTGTTCACTAACATTTTGTTCATCCTAAAAAATCTGTTTCAACTCCTTTAAATGGACAAGAAAACAATCCTGATAACTGCTACTCCATAAAGAATTTGGGTAAATTCTATTCTATATTTCTTGGGAGAAGGTTCAAAGTATTAGAGAAAGTCCCAGTCATCTATCTGTAGGGTGGGTAAAGGACGTGGGGGGATACTTGCTTATAACTGGACTTTCAGAGAAATTTTTTCACTAGTCTTACTGGAGGAGGTGAAAAGGGGAAGAGGAAGGAAGAGTTTGACGCCAGAATGCTTCTTCCCTCTCCCAGGTCTAAGTTTTACAGTATCGGGGCCAGGCAAGAGAAATGAAGAGGGCAAAACTCTCTTTACATGATTAGTCAAAGAACATCAATGGTGAGGAGACAAATCTTGCATTGTTCAGGTTAAGTGTGGTTCCATTCAACGATGATGAAGTCAGCATAATTTGTGCGACCCAATGCAAAATGAAAAAAGCAGGGAAAACGCACTATTAAAGGTACTAAAATACAAAACCTTTCCCTTCCTTCATGGTTACCGCACCCCCCCTTTCTCTCCCTGTCAACTTATCATGGTGTTTTTTATTTTCTATTTAATGTCATGTATCCCTGGGCAGGGAGATATTCACAGAGCAAATGCAGATCCTCACAGATGCCTAAGGGCCTCACCACACAACTCAGAACAAGCAAGATCCACCAGCTATGGGGCTCCACCTCCTGCAAGCTACTAGACCCATGTACTATGCCCTGGCTGGAGGTGGGGAAGTCAATCTTTCTGTCCCAGGGGACCTCTGCCCCAATCCATGGCAGATGGGTAACCCCCAACCGATAGCAACTGCCAGGCAGGGGTATACCTCAGTATCTGGATTGAGGACTGACTCCCTGCGAAGTCAGGGAGTGCCAACACACTGCCAACCTGAGACAGGATGCTATAGGACACATGCAATGGACCCAGACCCTCTCTGTTATATTTAGGCCTCCACCAAAAGTAAGGAACAACAGTAGAACACAGACCTTTCCCCACCAATGTGACCACATCAGTGGTGGGGCAGATACAAAGAGGATGAGGCCAGGCAGGGCCCAGGATAACAAAGCATGGAAGAGCCAGCAGTCAAAAACTGGTCCTACGAGGCAGCAGGAGACAGAGAAAGCTTAGGCTCTAAGCCCCTAATGCATGCTCCATTTTCCCATCAGCCTTAATTTACAAAACATAAATTCAGAGATAAAAATTAATAAAAATTTCGGGGCACCTGGGTGGCTCAGCTGTTAAGCGTCTGCCTTCAGCTCAGGTCATGATCCCAGGGTCCTGGGATCAAGCCCTGCATCGGACTCCCTGCTCCACAGGAAGCCTGCTTCTCCCTCTCCCACTCCCCCTGCTTGTGTTCCCTCTCTCGCTGTGTCTCTCTTTGTCAAATAAAATCTTTAAAAAAAGTTAAAAATTTCAAGAGAGTGAACACAGAATGTTAAGCCTGAAGCACAAAGCCCCTCTGAGTATGGGTCCCTATGCAACTGCACCGATTACATACCCAGGAAGTTGGCCTTGGCCTCCGCTGATAGTGGTCTTTACGTGGGAGGCGACTGTAGTTTTCTTGAGGAATGTTCAGCTTCACCTTCATTACCAAGAATCCCTTCAGAGGAGCACAGAAATCTTCCACTGGTCCCCCCAGTGGAACACGTGCCCAGCTCCTTCTCTTGAATTGGACATCCCATTACTTGGCCAGTGGCACACAGGACAATTTCTATCCTTCCACTAACCTCCATGTTCCTTCATGTGGAGCCAAGAAACCACCAAAGTTCTCTCTTCTGCACCTTTCCTGGGCCATACAGTATCAGAACAAGGATACTACACTTCAAGCCCCATTGGTACATATCACTCCAAAAACTTTTGTCCTTAAAATCTCTGGACCGTAACTGCACTAGTCTATATGTTCTTGGTATAATTCCAAACTTCAAGAAACATGCCAAGTTCTTCCACATGAACTTATCACATTTTACTCTATTGGCAACACTAGAGTGGACCTTTGAGTTTCTAGAGCATCTCAAGCATCCATCTACAAAACAAGATGGCACTTTCCCCTTTTTGTACCCCAGTCTTTACATGATTGTCACATAGACTCCTTCACTTAGCTTATAAAGGAAAATGTACTCCCCCTCCCAACTAGGGATGTAATAGAAAAGCCTCTCTTATTGAAATCTCACTCCCAAGACATCAGTGACGATAAATTCTTCCCCCCTCCAATCATTTTTTTGGACCTGCCCTTAATTTCTGGAAATTCACTAACTACTCTCTTCTATTTTCAGTTTTGGTCTTGGTCACAATTCTAAGACAAAAAAAAAAAAAAATCCCATCCAATCTTTTACAAAATTAAGTCAGATACTTGATAAAATTGAACATTTAAATAGTAACTTAAATGTTAAAAAAAAATACGTTCATTACTTTAGACACTGATACCAAGTTGATGAAGGCCATATCTTATCCCTAAAATTCAAAATGATCTCAGATAAAGTTGGGCAGATAAATGCAACTAGACAGGTAAAACTCATTAAATGGAAATATACTATCTATATCACTATATACAACCTGATTATTTTCTTTTAACACCTTCAGCTTTGCTTCCAGTTCAGTACTAACTTGAGTTTGATGCTGAAGTAACTGCTGCATATGCTGGAAAGAAATGATGATATCCTTTAAAAAAGTATAAATATGATCTATCAGTTGGAGGAATTGTAAGATTGTAGGTATGTTTCTAAATTAATTCTTAAACTACATTTTCTAATTTCTTAACTTATCTTTATAGTTTAATCTTAACACCATAATAAGACAGTGAAATAAACTAGTACCACATTTTACTAACTTAATATATAAAATAATTACATTGTATGATTTCTTACAAAGTACTATATCCAAGAGTTTTTCAAATAACTAACAGTTTTTTTAAATTATGAGACACTACTGGAAAATGTAAAGAATTTAAAACCAAAACTTTCGTTGGCTTGTCTTAAAAACAGTAAATGTATCACTCCTGAAATGTCATATTGCTAATGAGCTAGGATGTCATAGTATGTATTAGAATGAAATGGAGGAAAAGCAGAAAAAAAAAAGAAACGAGAACTTTTCTTTCACAGACCTTTTTTAAATAGAAGAATTATAAATATCAAATAAATTCAAATGAGGGTATAACATCCTATAAATGCATGCTCTAAGCATACATACATTTCAATAATTATCTGCTAGGGTACCAATAGTCTAAACTATCAAGGGAAAAACTGATTTATTTTTATTCTATTTATTCGTTAAATATTTTAATGTAATATTTTCCAACTTTATTAAGATATAATTGACATATAACATTCTGTAAACTCAAGTTGTACAACATGATGATTTGGTACATATATATAGTGCTAAATGATTACCCTAATAAGATTAATTGACATCTCTATCACTTCACATAATTACCATTTTTGTGTGTGTGGTGAGATTATTTATAATCTACTCTCTTAACAACTTTCAAATATATAACACAGTTTTGTTAACTAAAACCATCATGTTGTACATTAAACTCCCGGAACTTACTCATCTTACACCTGAAGTTTGTACCCTTGATGAACATCTCCCCATTCCTTGGATCTATTTTTTAATGGAGCATATGTGAGACCGGTTAAAAAGGTACACTTGTATCCATTCAATAGGCCCTAACTGAGTGCTTACTATGTGCCGGGAAACTGACCTAGACATGATTCCATTTGTTATTTAACTTAACTTCTTTATTTCCCACATTATACCTGCTTTTAAAAATATTTACTGGCTCTCAAAATATCTTATGATTGCTTGCCTTTTTTTCTTCTTGAATATGTGTGATCTCTTCATTAATCTTCTTATTTAATTCCAACTCCTTTAAAAAATTGAGTAATTTTAAAGTTATGATATAAAATTCAGCAAATTCTACATTTCATTCAGTGCTCAATACGTTTAGGAGAGTCAGGAACCCTTCTCCTACCCCAGAGTACCAACATGCATTTGCTGGTGAAGCAGTGGCTCCTAGTGAAATAAAGGTGGTACGAGACACCCAGCATAGGCTGCTGTGCAAATTTTTTATAAATATTCGCGTTAAAAAATTACAAAATTCCTCATCTCCAAAAGCTTTTCTGGAGATACCTCTGTACCATAGATTACCTGACATTATATGAAAATGGAAACAAAATGGTTATAGACAAATTTTATTGTCTTAAATTCTTGCTGATAATGGCAAAAATTACCTAATAACAAAAAATTATTCACAATATCTTTTTTTACTATGTATATTAACTTTACAAAGAAGGAACATTTTTATATTATAAACCTGAAATTCTCATTTTACAAAAACAATTATATAAACATAAATACATTTAATTAAATACCATGGTGAGTCTTTCTTGAAGTTCTTGAAATTTTTGTTCTTTAATTGTTAAATGGATGTTTTCTTCTCCCATCTTATGTTGACATGTGACCTTGGACTTTATCAAGTCTGACGTAACTTGTTTTAGTTCCTTAACATAAGAAATATAAACAGTAAGTTCAGTATAAACATTTCATCAAAGAAAGGTATTTCTGACAGTTTTAAAGTCCATTTTAAACCTATCATTATAATTTACTGTATTTCACATATCAAGATAATACTACTGGTCCATCAAGGTCTATTTCCCCTAGTTCCCTTGCAAGATAATTAGCCAAGGTGGGAATGCTACAGGGATAGAATGCATGATTTCTTTCCCTTAAAAAGAGCTAACTTCCCTTAAAAAGATACTAACCAAATGAACTAACCAACCAGAAGTAGGGTGTTTTCAACTTATTTAACAAAAATCTTCTGAGATTAAAAAAATAATAAGAGTATCAATTTCCAAGTTCATTAGCATCTAATAAGAAAAATTTGTGTGAGAAATAATCATAATCTAATGTGATGAGTGCTATATTACAGAAATGTATAGAAGCATAAAGAAAGAAAGAGATTGGTAGAGGGCATCAAGAAGGCATTATTAGGAAAAGTGGTTTCTGAATTGAGTCTTTAAAGATAAATTTGCAAAGAGGACAAAAATGTAGACATTCTAGACAAAAAGACTGTACATGCACAAACGTGCAGAAACACGAGAGTATGGCACTTTTCAGGGAAACAGAATAGATTATGGCTGGAGCTAATATGTAATGGATGAGGGGGAGGAGTAGAGTATTCATGGTTGTGGCTAGAAATCTGACAGGATTCAAATACTGAAAGGGATTTGTAGGCCAAGCTGAAAAGAGCTTTAATTTTATCCTATAGGCAATGAGGAATTAATAATTGAAGGATTTTCAGTAGGAGAAAGTCATAAAATTTGTAATTCAGAAAAATAACTCTAGCATCATTACAGATTATTAGAATTGAAGAAGATACAAAAGAAGTCTTCATTTGTGAAGTTACATGTTCACTTAGCTTAACAGATATCATCCAAACACATTATAATTCTAAAATACCAACTTCTGAATTGGTGTGTAATTTATTTTTCTGCTGTTCTGTGTATACTGACTATATTAAATACTCAAGAATCCAATTTTCACATTCTTAACTACACAGTATCTGAACTCCCTTTGAATTTTGGAGGAATTCTACATTATAAAAGTCCACTGTCCATAGAGGAGCCAGAAATGCCAGATACTAGCTTTATAAGCATGAGGCCAAATTCTGCTAATCAGATGCACCTGTCCCGGATATTGGATCAGGAAGCAGTATCACAAAGAACAAAAACTGTTGCAAATCCTTCTGTTGTAGGCTTTAGGGGCAATGCTAGTAACAACACATGTCCATGGGCAACAATGGTACCACTGTAGGAGCGGCATCTACTACAGTCAACAGTGACAGTACAACCTACAGTGTACTAATATACTTTAGTTTTTAAAAGATTGTATGTAAGAACTGAATAAATAATAATAACAAAAAACTCTTGTAGAAAAAAGTTCATTAGGTTGGTAGATTACAGGAAATTGTTATTTTCTTCATTGTACTGATTAGTATTTTCTCTTTCTTCTAAAGTAAACACATATTTCTTAAGTATCAGTGTATAGGAGATATATATATATGCATATATATATATAGTGTAGTATATAATAGTATATAAAGCTATGGAAATGGGCAATCACTTAGAGTTATTAGTTAGAAGAAAGAAGATGGCAAATGACTGGGTCCTAAAGAACTCCAACACTCATGGATTACAGAAGAAGCTAATATAGAAGGCTGAGAAGTAGAGTCAACTGAGGTGGGTGGAAAATCAAAAGTGTAATACTCAGGAAGCTGAAAAAGGAGCAGCCGAAAATAGGGCTGCCAATACGTCCAGAGTTCTACATGTTATACCTTCAGATGCCACATAAAAACTCACCCAATTATAACTCAATACCTAGTTCAAAATCCAGGAAAAAGGATTAATGGTTTTAGTTCACATGTCCCTTTCAGATATGTGCACTGCATAAAACGACTGCTAAAGTAACTGCACATGGGTCAAGAGATAGGATTTGACTCTTAGAAAAGCAGGCAGACAAATTGATGGCCGGTACAAAGAGAACAATCAACACGTACTGAATCATGAAAGAAGTCTGAACAAAGGAGGTATGCCTTGAAGAATGAATAGTATACTAGATATCCTCCATTTATCTGTCCTGACTCACTCTCCACCTTTTCTTCATACTGCTCTGTTCCCTGTGTGCTGATATCTGTGGATACAGCAAACAATTTTTCTTGCCCTCCGGCTCCTGGTTGGGTTCAATCTCTGGAAGGCACCAGCAAATCAGTATGCTGGGAAGACAGATTGAGGTATTTCCCTGTTTCCTCCCTACCTGGCCACAAAATGACAATAGCTCTCTACCTTTACCAAAGGTCATTGCACCTACAGCTCTCTCCAGGTTCCCAGTATCTGCTTCCTTCCCTTGCCCCCTCAGGTTTACGTGGTATAATCATTCCCCCACCGCTTCTATCCCTGTGGTGCTTCAATGCTCCTCCTGGTTTCCCCGAATGCTGCCCTTAACTTTGTAAACAGCTTCTTCATCAAACTTTTCTCTTTTACCCATTCCAAGGTACCATCTATTTCCTGACTCAATCCTGTTTAATTCAAGTAAATTGAATTAAAGTGTGGGGAGGGGATATGGAGGAGAGCAAAGGCAAAAAGGAAGGAATAATGAAGAATTATAATGATTGCAACAAAGATTTTGCATTAAATAGAACAGAAGATGCTTAAGAAGCAGTAGGAAATGATGTTGAAGATATAGAATGGGGCCAGACCATGGAAGCTGTGAAAAGCCAATTAAAGAAGTATGGGACTAAATCAATATGTTGTACACCTAAACTTACACAATGTTGTATGTCAATGATATCTCAATAAAGCTGGAAAAAAATTTGGGACTTGATTTGGTAGGCAAAAGAGAACTATTCAATCTACCCCATTCCTTCTATATATACTAAGTATCTAGCATGTCAGGCACATGGAAGCAATGCATCAAACTAGTAACCCAGTAAAGTCATTCTGGCAATAAGAATGAATAAAAACCAAGGGCGCCTGGGTGCTTCAGTCAGTTAAGTGTATGCCTTCAGCTCGGGTCATGATCCCAGGGCCCTGGGATCCAGCCCCACATCAGGCTCCCTGCTCAGCGGAGAGTCTGCTTCTCCCTTTCCTCTCCCTCCCCCTGCTCATGCTTGTGTGCACTCTCTCTTGCTCACTCTCTCAAATAAATAAATAACATCTTTTTTTTTTTTTTAAAGAATGAGTAAAAACCAGATAAAAGAACACTGGCTAAGGGACTATTTTATTAATCCAGACATGAGATGACAAATGTCTATACTATTAAGAAATGAAGAATGGCAAATATGAGATCTTCTAAAGGAAGATATAATTGAATAGACAAAGGGAATGAAGGAAAAAGATTATTCCAGAGTGTCTAGGTGAAGCTAAAAGAAATGAAAAGAAAAACCATGAAATGTGGAAGAGAAAGCATGACAATGGAAAGGAAATGGGAAGTCTGCTTTGCTGATGAAGCAGATGAAAATGTATTAAGAAAACAAGAAACAAGAGATGAACAATGTTCTGAGACTGTTAAGAAAGCCAAAAAATCCCAAATCATTATGCCTGAGCCATAGGTTGTTGTTTTATTAAAAAAAAAAGTCCTTCATTCATATTTTTTCAAATTATAAAAGGCTATATGTGATGAATTCCCTCAAAATGAAGTTTCAATGTCCCAGCAATGGTTCATCTTCACAGTCAGCAAGAGGATTTCCTTTGAAAGAAGAGTTGCATGAATTTGGGGGGATGTGGAGGGAGAAAGGAGGGATATGGAGAATGAAGAATTAATCCAATGTGTGCCCGGCTGACCCTGAAATTACAGTAAGTCATAAAAGGAGACGATCTGCAGGCAGTTGAAAAAATAGAACTGAGATTAAGGGAAATCTGAGGCTGGAAATATAAAGTCATCTGCACGAAGTGAATGACTGAATCACAGAAATGAGAGCTCACTGAGAGAGACCTTAGGATAGAGCTTTGGAGGAATGGAAGAAAAAGGATAATCAGGGAGCCAAAGGAATTTGTACCAAAAGACCCTCAAAAAGTGAGCTATCATACAGATGTTATAAAATGAACACATTTTATATTTTAAACATCTATTATTTTGTACAAAACACATTATTCTGTAATTAAAAACACAAAGCGTCAGTATCAGGATGCTTTGGTTACTAGTATTAGGAAACCATACAAATAATAAGGACATTTATTCTTCCACATAAGAGAACGTCCAAAGTTGGGTAGGTTCTCCACTTTTATTTAACATAGTACTAGAAGACCTAGCTCCAGCAATCAGACAACAAAAAGAAATAAAAGGCATCCAAATTAGTAAGAAAGAAATAAAACTTTAACTATTTGCAGATGACATGATACTATAGATAGAAAACCTGAAAGACATTACCAAAAAACCACTAGAACTGATAAATGAATTCAGAAAGTCATAGGATACAAAATCAATGTACAGAAATCTGTTGCATTCCTATACACTAATAATGACGCAGCAGAAAGTGAAATTAAGAAAACAGTAAAATATCTAGGAATAAACTTAACCAAAGAGGTGAAAGACCTGTACTCTGAAAACTACAAAATACTGATGAAAGAAACTGAAGAGGACACAAAGAAATGGAAAGACATCCCACGCTCATGGGTAGTAAGAACAAATATTGTTAAACTGTCTATACTACTCAAAGCAATCTACACACTTAATGCAATCCCTATCAAAATACCAACAGCATTTTTCACAGAATGAGAACAATTCTAAAATTTATATGGAATCACGAAGACTCAAATAGCTAAAGCAATCTTGAAAAAGAAAAACAAAACTGGAAGTGTCACAATTCCAGATTTCAAGTTATATTATAATGCTGTGTAATTGAAACAGTATGCTACTGGTATAAAAATAGACACAGATCAATGGAACAGAATAGAAAACCCAGAAATGAACCCACAATTATATGGTCAATTAATCTTTGACAAAG